TGGGTCTATTCTATGGAAGCAAGGAGTGGGCTTAAAGAAAGAGATAAGTCTGGTACTTTCCCCTCATTCATTTATCCCCTTTCTCAGCAATCTGCTGACAATGAGGAAGGTGAAAACAGAATCGGAGGTTTAAAGATCCTAGTGATCATTTGCAAGGCAGGGACCGCAGCGATCTGTTCACAGCTGTGTTCTCGGTCCCCAACATGGTGCCTGACCCCCAGTGGAAATCGTACATCTACTAATTAAATAATGCGTAAACCTCAAGGGGAAAGTTACTCATTATGCCCCCTAACTGGGGTGAAAAGTAGAGTAAGAAATGAAGGAAAAGAGCTGAGGGAAAGTACTTCCCAAGTTAACATATCAGAGGCAGCACTGAGGGATATTCTCTGCCACACTGGCCCGAGGCACTTGCTTTGCTCCAGGTGAGGGCTAGATGAGTATTTTCCATATCTGGGATTTTGAAAGTGGTGTTAGTGCTTGGAGAAGTCTTCTGAAGGATTTTGAGGAAATCCTGTACATAATCCAATACGCTGTGCAGATTTAAAACTATGCATGTTTGCAATGGAAGAGCCTTTCTCATGTAGGCAAGCTTGAAAGAGTGAGCAATCCCATGGTCTTTAATAATTAAAGAATATTCTCTGTATAGAAATCTCTATGTTCTAAAAACCCACACCCCTTTGAGTGTTTCCTATAGTAATCTAAATCATTGAAATGGAAATATTTTCAGACCCTATCTACTTGGGGGGGATTATGTTGTTTTGTAGGGGTTCTTAATTTGTTTTATTTTCTGTTATATTTTAATCACTGTGTTTACTTTGAAGGTATACACTTTACTCACCTGGACTTTATGTACCTCATTAAGTGGACAGAGACAGTAGCTCTGAGAGTGAGTGGGGGTAAAAGAGGGAAGTCATAAAAATATCCTTTAGTTTGAAGTTTGGTGCAGGAGTTCTGTTAAGTTGCTATCTGTTCTCAGTCAAGCACTTTACTTATCATAAGAGATTGGGTTCAGTGGTCTCTAAAATCTGCTTATACTCTATTACCTTACAATTTTTCAACCAAAAAATTATTTATTGATGAGGGATAATTCTCTGGGAAGCAAATCTTTAAAATAGCTCTAAGTATGAGAAAGACTTAACAAGAAAAAGTAATCTTATTGTGGAATTTTTTATAATAGGAGAAATATAGAAGTACTCTAAATATCAAATATCAAAAAACATAAATTCATGGTTTTTCCCAGAGAAACTATGGTAAAGTGATCTAAAATTATGATCTGAGAACCATGTAAAAACCTGGAACTTATACATAGTCATGCATTGAAGGGCTGTGAGCAGGGGTAATGAATTCAAGGGTAATGTAACAGTGGATTCCTCTGCTCCGAAAAAACACAGAAACTAAAAGTAGCGAGGAGAAAAGGGCCACTCTGTCTTGGGGCAAACTGACTTGAAACAGGAACCAACGGGAGTATATTCAGGGAAGGCACAAAAAATGGTGAGGCAACCAGAAATAATGTCACAGGAGGAAAATCCGGAGCAACTGGGGACGTTCAACTGGAAGAGGAAGAAGCTCAGGGATTCAAATATCTCAAGAGTTGCCATGAAGAAAAGGGAGTAGACTGGTTTGTAGGGTCACATGGACAGAATTAGGACCAGTGAATGGAAGATGCTAGAAGGTCAGTCTTAACATGAGAGGTCAAAGAATTTTGTATAACCCAAGAGTGGAAGGTGTTGCCTCTGGAAAAAGTAAATGCCCCATCATTAGAGACATGTAGTATCAATCTATAGAGTTGAAGATATAGACAACTCAGAAGAACTGGACAGGGGGATCAGTTGAGGACAAAGAAACTTTAAAGTTCCTTCCAGCTGTGAGGTTTGGTGGTCTCAAGAACTCTGAGAAGTTTGAGATTTGCAGAGACTACTATATATAAAAGAGATGAACAACAAATTTCTACTGTCTAGCACAGGGAGCTATATTCAATATCTTGTAGTAGCCAATAATGGAAAAGAATACAAAAAGGAATATATGCACTTGTGTGTTTATGACTGAATCACTATGCTGTATGACACAACATTTTGTCTCAATTAAAAAAAAAGAAATAAAAAAGAAATTAATAAAGAACTCTGGGTAGAAGAGATTAAAGGCAGGAAGTCCAATGAGAAGACTCTCACATGACTTTTTTCATAGGGTGACTCTCAATGACCTGTTTAACCTCATTATCTTCTTATTCTAGAAATACTAACACCACCAACACAATCTAGAAGTTATCTGCTTCCCCTGATTTTCCTATTTGTGCTATCACAGTTTCTATTCACCCTTGTGTGGAATTTATCATCTCCCTGACAGATAAATTAATGAAAGGAGTCTATCACCTCCATAATGAGCTCAAATGAGTGGATATATCTAGGACAAATGGGTAAAAGTATTTATATATTTCAGTTTTTTCCATTTATAGAAGGAATGTTGATTCCTTAAAGAAAAAACATAAAAAATCTAGAAAGGTAAAAAGTTTACCTAGAAAGTTTTTTATAAATCTGTAACTCAAATATATAAATGACCAAAGACAGTTAACATTTTGGATTTTCCTTCTTGTCTTGTTCTGTGCGTTTGTAGCATATGGATTCAGTTTAACATAAGAGAGATCTTTTGGTTAGATCTTCCAATAAATAATTAAGTGAGCTGAAAATTTCTTTTCAGTAAAAAGACTGAATACCCACATCTCAGGAATGTTGTAGAGGGAGGAGCCATCTTTAGATGATAAGATGATTTAGATCAGCAGTTGACAGACTTTTAATGTAAGGGCTAGATAGTAAATATTTTAGACTTTGCAGGTCGTACAACTCTGCTGTAGTAGCACAAAAAGCAACCACAGACAATATGATGTAAACAAATGGGTATGGCTGTGTGCCAATAAAACCTTATTTATCAAACAGGCAGTGAGCTGGATTTAGCCATGTCAACCACTTAAACTAAAACAAATGGCTTAACTAAACCAAATAGCCTGTTGGCTTTTAATAGCTTCAAAATTCTTATCATAAAAAGAGAACTGAAAGCCTCATTCAAAGCCAAGAAGAGTTCTGGCAGACTCTGTGGTCACATGAGTTAAGAGTCAAGTTCAACATTACCATATGATCCAGGAATCCTGCTCCTGGGTTTATATCTGGAAGGAACTCTAATTCGAAAAGATACATGACCCCAATGTTTGTAGCAGGACCATTTACAATAGCCAAGACATGGAAAAAACCTAAATGTCCATCAACAGATGACTAAATCAGTAGGTAAGAAGGTAGGTAGATAGATAGATAGATAGATAGACAGACAGACAGACAGACAGACAGACAATGGAATACTACTCAGCCATAAAAAATAATAAAATAATGTCATTGGTAGCAACATGGATTGACCTAGAGACTGTCATCCTAGTGAAGTAAGTCAGAAAGAGGAAGAAAAATACCATGTGATATCATTTATATGTGGAATCTAAAAGAAAGACACAAATGTAACTTTATATACAAAACAGAAACAGACTCACAGACATAGAAAACAAATTTATGGTTACCAGAGAAGAAAGAGGATAGGAAGGGATAAACTGGGAGTTTGAGATTTACAGATACTAACTACTATATATAAAATAGATAAACAAGTTTCTTCTGTACAGCACAGGGAACTATATTCAGTATCTTGTAGTAACCTATAATGAAAAAGAATATGAAAATGAATATATATATATGTATATGTGTGACTGAACTATTATGCTGTACACCAGAAATTGACACAACATTGTGAACTGACTATACTTCAATAGGGAAGAAAAAAATGGGAAAAACAAGAGTCAAGTTCAGCAAAGTCCATTAAGAAAAGTCTCGTCAGGCAAACTCCAAATTTGGCACTTAGGCACCAGGAACCCAAGCTAGAAGGCTAAGTAATAAGTAGCCTTGAAGAGATTGAGAGAGTCAAAACAAGCCATTCACACCACCTGAAGACAGAATCTAGGCAGGAGGAACAGAAAATGAGTATTTGTGATGAATTTAGCTCAGTACCTGTTATATAAGTGGTTGGTGAATAGTGACTAAATTATTTACTTGTTCTGTCATGTGCTTATTCACTCGGTCTATAGAGTTATACATTGGACACCTACTGAGCACTTATCATATGCCAGGATCTCTACTAGGTACTGACAATATAGATTCAGTTCAACATAAGAGCAGTAAATAAGATATATAAAAACACAACACTGTAAAGACCAGATTCTTTGATAAACTATCACAACCCAAGCTGTTAAACACTGAAATAGAGTTAGAAATAAGGTGCTGTAGGAAGATGGCAGGTGTGCCCTTGAATCAGCCTCAGGTGGTCAGGAGAAGCTTTCCAGAGAAGATGACAACTGAGTGAGTTCTGAGCATGAATGGGGTCAGGCTGGTCAGAGATTTCATGGGAACAGAGGACACATGTTTTTCAAGGCAGAGGCATCCTCACTCAAAGGCTTGTGAGTGAGGGTGATGGCGTGACTTCCTAGACATGCAGATGATTTAGTAAGGCTGGGAAGGGGGCAGCAAGCTGGGAAGGCAACGAGGCTGAAATCAGGTTCCGAAGAAACCTGTAAGCCCTGGGAAGGAGTTTTGCCTTGACCCTCAAAGTGGGAAGATGTTTTAAACAGGGAAGTATCTTGATGAGATCTGCATTTTAGAAAGGCCCACAAAAGTGAATGTAATGGTACATTAGAGAGTATTAATCAAAACCTGGCTAGTTGCTTCTTCCCAAGGGCTGGAACCAGCCTCAGTATGGGGGCTGGAGGGATAGCTGTGCAATAGGCAAACGGGGTTTTGACTGAAGAAGTGGAAGCAAGGCGGGTGTCATAGACGCTCTCCCTCTCCTTCCCATCACATACACAAGTCTGCCTTGCAATATGGTTCTATCAGAATGCGATCAACGATATTCGTTTGCTCACAAATGTCCCCACTTCTACAGAAGTGGTAACACTCTTTTCCTCTTTCTTTTTATAGAACGGTCGTGGATGGAGGTTGGATTTGTCACGGGTCCTTCTACCCAAATAACAGTGGTGTTGGTGAGTCATATGGTTATTTACTTCCCATTTGATACCTTTGGTTATGAGCCGAGTTATGGTAAAAGTGTGACTTGAATAAGACTTTTTCTTCCTAAGTCCTTTGATATTCATGATTCTCAAAGCTCTTCCCAGAGTTTTCAAAGTTCTGCCCAGGTTTGTTGCTTGAATACTTGACTAGGCATGTAGGTGTTCTGTACAACTTCAGTGGTAAACTTTCTTTAGCCACCCATGTGTTGCTGGAGAGTTGTGTATAAGCTGAATGTCTGTGAAGCAATAGAAAATGCAAATCCTCTAGAGAAATGTTATGTTCGGGGGAATCCTGTTAAAATGTAACAGACATATCTGAAAAATTAAAAATCACTTGTTTTTGTCTTCAACAAATAATCATGTATTCACACTGCAAGTCTGCCTTGTGTTCAACCAGGAAATTTTGCTGCTCTAACAGCTTTGGTTTGAGAGGGTTGTTGAAGTGTTTACGACAAGATACAGGGTTGGCTTCAGAGTGAGAAAAATCAAAAAGTGGACATTAAAATGAGATATTTCAAAACTTCTTGGAAAGATTTCTAACCTCCTTAGCTGCATTCCCATGGAAGAAAGGGAATATATTTGGTCTTTTCTTCAAGGCATGTTTTATAGTTTTTGAATGATTGACTGAGATATTGTTCTGGTTTTTTTGTTGTTTTTTTTGAGGGAGGCTGACTTGGCGTTTTGTTTACTGGGAGGCTCCAAGAGGTGTGTGTTGTATAAGATGCTTGTCTCTTGTTTCTGTAAAGAAAAGAGTTCATTCTGGAGACTAAGTTGTTTCTTGCTTTTAGTGCGAAATATTTCTTGATGGGTAAATTGAGAATAATAAATGTCCTCAGAAGGAGCAGTTAACATAACGTGTTTTTTCATAACCTCACATTTTGCCTGTACTACTAGCAATAATTTGGGAGAAAACAGAAGCAGATTTAAAAAATGTAATTCACTTTATAATAATTGGTTTCTTTATGTAGTTTTCTTTCCCCCATGTTAACGCCTTTGTCAGTGTTTCACTACCTCTTCATGCACTCCTAATGTGATCATACTTGGATTTTCTGGGACAGCCATAATTTTCTATCCCTGATATATCTGGAGTCTTAGACCTTGCATTTTGAATTTGGGTTCAGGAAATAAAGTCAATATATTCTTTCTACCAAGCTGATCACAGATTCCTCCATCCCTTCCTGCATTTCCCATCCCTACACATCACAAATGGCTTACTATTTTTACTTTTGGTTCTAAGCCAATTGCATTTCTGTTTTCCTGCACAAGTACAATGTAATCACTTTCGGATTGTTGGTATGTTGTTGAAAACACTGGTGTACTCAAAGCTTTTTTCATTTTTTTAACGTGATAAAAAAACAAATCAGGATTTCAGTTACATTTTAAAAACAAATTGCGTACATCTTGAAATTCCAAAATGATATCTGAAATGAATTGTAAGGAACATTTCTGGCATGGCCCTCAACACACCTGTAGAAAATTACTTAACATTCTTCGGTACTCTTTAATCTAGTTCATTTACTAACATTAACATAGGAAGGAGCATCAAATGTTTTAGTGCAATTATTTATGTAACAGGAAAATTGTGCTTTAACCTTATTTGAAATCGGTTTCTACTTTTAGGGCAAGTTGGATAGGATGACATGTACCTAATCTTGACAAAAATATTTCGGTGAATAGTCTATAAGACAATAGAAAGATAATAGTGTTAGTATCACAAGAATGATTACCTTTTAGATGATGTGTTTTGACCTTTTTCCTCAGGTTTTTGAGTGGTCTGGTAGATTCTAACTTTCCCATGGGAGGCTCTTAAAATCTAGAAGAAATAGTCTAAGAAGCACAGTCAATAAATGTTTTGTTTCAGTTTGAGGCTAAAGTTTACTAACTCAAGATTAAAGACAAATAAATCTTTTCTCACCTGGCATGTACCCTTGATGTTAAATGTTCCAGTAGCCACTCGGTTGGGCTGTATTTTAAATTTCTGTACTAGTGTGACATGTATGCTATCAAAATTAAATTATTCTGTAATACTCCACAGTGGGATTGCTGTCATATACTCAGTACATTTTCCTTAGTTCAGACATCCTGAACCACTGGTGTCTGTCTGTCTATGATGTATACCCACATCAGGAATACATACTTTTCACCTCAGAGATAAACCCGGTTCTTGGTCAGATTTCTCCCAGTTCTAGAAGACATAGGTTCTCATTCTTATTCTTGCATCTCTAATGATTCTCACCAGAGGTGGCAACTTGGGTTAACCATTTGATAACGGAGCTGCCAAAGACCAGGATTAAGGCAGTTGTGAAGCTGACAAATATCATAT